CATACAAAAACCGATGATAACTTCGAAATTGAAACGGCCATCGCCAAATGGTCACTGTCTTTTCAGCCCAACATGGCGATTTTTCTAGTTCAGGAAATACAAGACGCTCTGCACGCGAACGCTGGAGGGAGACGCGATGCCTTCTGTGGTGTCCATTGTAAAAAGCATACAAGAATCCATGTTCACTTCGAACCATTAAGAGTTCACTTGGGTTTCCAGGCCAACATGGCGACTTTTATTCCAAAAAACAGAAAGCTCTACGCACGTACGCCGGCGGGTGACCATGGTCACCCGCGCGCGTCCGCGCGCGTGGTGATCTCTGTGATGTCCATACTGCAAGACACACAAGACAACCATGTTATTTTCGAAATCCAATCGGCCACCGCTAAGTTATCACTTCCGTTTCCAAGTCAACATGACGACTCTTTAATTTCAGGCAATACAGGGCGTTCTACACGCGAAGCTATCCTCGTTCTGCCGGGCGAACCACATCGGACCGTGGCAAGAAGCTGCACAAAATTATTCAGCATGGGTGGAAATGACAGAAGATTTCCTGGACTTCTGCACGTCGACGTGAGCAGGCGCGATGCTTCCTTTGCGCACCAGGCCTGAATAGTGACTGGCATTTGATTTTTCCCCTCGCGCCCTATATGGGCCCGCCCTCGTGCGAGCGGGGTGACTTGACTTGACTCTACACGCGCACGCAGGCGGAGACTTCCCCAACAACATCCTCATACCGCCTCCTCAGCATCATCCTCCGCCCGCGAGGTTCCTAAGGTGCGTCGCGGCTTGTCGCGTGCTTATTTCGGGCTCAAGGAAGCCGTAACACGGGCCACGAGGGCCCAATAAGCTCCGGAAAAGGTCCATGGGGGGCTCCGAGTTGCGAAAGATCGCTCCAACACTTTCAAATTGGTCTCCAGACGGCTCAAGAAGCCCCCAAACCGCCACAGAAGGGTTCCGCAAGTTCTCCCAAGAGAGCCCCTATAATCAAAATCCGCCCCATTCCCTAAGGAAAACAATGGAAACAATTGTGTTTAGCATGCGCGCTCGGCTTTTTGGGCACTCGCAGCGTCCAAGACGGCCCAAGGGGCACTCAAAATCGCCTCAATAGGGCCCGAAAAAGGGAATTCGAACTGAGATTTCACATCCCGCGCCTGCGATTTTGGCGGCGACGAGGCGACGAGCAACGACGACGACGACGGCGGTGGCGACGACGGCAAAGACGGATGCCCCATGGATGCAGAGGGTGCAACGAAAGGCCCAACGACGATGACGACAAACGACGACGAACGCCCATGAACGACCACGGTGACGACGACAAATTGTGGACGCCCCATGCGGGGGGGTGGGGGGACGCGCAAGGCTTGGCGACGACGAAGACCGAGGACGGCGGCGACGACGACGATCCACCGACGAAACTGCTGATGCCGCGTGGAGGAGGGGGGGGCGATTGGCCAGGGGGTGGCTGCGGGAATAAGATGTCCAGCGCAAATCGTATTCCGCATTTTTGTTGGCCCGCGGAGGGAGGGTGGGTGTCGAGAACAACGTCGCTGACCAATGCCAGAACGTTTTTCGCAATTTTCGGGCCCCGCGGGGGGAGGTGGGTGTTGACGCATATGACGGGATGCTTCCCCGCGAGGCGCGCCGGCCGCAAGTTGGATGGGTTCAAAGAAACACACCGGAGCTCGCCGGGGGAATGGGTGGGGGGGACGTAAAGCCTCTCGACCCCCTCAAGCCTCTCGACCCCCTCGTCGGGAGGGTAACAAAGAGGGCAGGAGGAGGAGGATGAGGAAGAGAGAGGAGGAGGGGGAGGAGGGGGAGGAGAGGAGAGGGAGGAGAGGAGGAGGAGGAGGAGGAGGAGGAGGAGGGAGGAGGAGGAGGAGGAGGAGGAGGGGGAAGAGGAGGAGGAGGGGAGAGGAGAGCCCAGCCCACGCCCACTTTATAACATTTGGCCCGATGAAAAGGGGCAGCGCGCGGGCCACGCGCGCGCGCGCACGCCCGCGTCTCCAGCAGCGGTGGGCATCTTGACGGTTCCCTGCAGCAGTCCTTGCTTGCATCACAGCACATACCATTGTTTGGGACTCTCTGTTTGAATTCGGGTCTCGAGACATCGGCCGAAAGTTTCGGCGGGTGCCAGCCCGTGGCGCCTCGTGGGCGCCCCGCTCGTGGGGGCCGTGCAAGATCTTCGCCCCGCGCCCGCCCGTGGGCGCCTCGTGGGCGCTCCTGGGCGTCCCGCGGGCGCCTCGTGGGCCGAAGCGCCGTTCGGTGCCCGCCCGTGGGCGCCCCGCGGGCCCCTCGCGCCAGGGAGGCACGCCGACGCTTCGCGTGGCGACCGCCCACGGACGCCTCCCGGGCGCTCGTGGGCGCCCCGCGCCGGGGGGGTACGCCGAGGTTTCGCCCGGCGCCCGCCCGTGGGCGCCTCGTGGGCTCCCCGGGAAGTTGCACGACGCCGGCTGCACAGCACAGCGTGCAACACATAGCCGGCACCGCATAGCTTGCGCTACGCGGATTGCACCACGTCGTCTGCGCCGCACAGATGGCACCAGGCGGCCTGTGCAGCAGAACTTGCACCACGTAGCTTGCGCCACATAGCTTGCGCCACATTGCTTGCACCACTTGGCTTGCGCCACGTAGTTTTTGCCACGGTGGGTGGACTTGGGGCGGGAGGGTGTGCGCAGCGCCGGTGATGCGTGCTGGATTTCCTCTGGTCCGCCCCCCCGCTCATCCTGAAAAGTGGTTCCCCAGTCGTGTCATGAAGCACATTCGGACCAAGACCTCGAGGCGGATCCAACCGTGGCGGGCATGGCGCCTCGGGAGGCCCAAGCCATTCAACAGCATCAAAGTCCCCCCCCCTCCTCCTTCTCCCTCCCTCTTCGTTCCTCCCTGCTCTCTTCCCTCTCCTGCAGCAGGTCGAAGATGAGCTTGAACTTCTTCTCCTGCTGCTGCATGTAGGTCTGCAGCTTCTGGGAGCCGAGGGAATGGCGAGGGCCGCAGTTGGAGCAGGGGTGCTTTGCGAGAGAGGGCGCCCTCGCCAGGACAGGGAGGAGGAGGAGGAGGAGGAGGAGGAGGAGGAGGAGGAGCGACCGAACGAGCACGTGTCGGGGCCAATCCAGCGGCTACGCGAGACAGAGCTGAGCCCAGGACTGGTAAGATTGCCGCGAGTTTCGATCAAGGCATACCCGCGCGACACACAGACCATCAAAGTCGAATGCCTCCACGAGCCTTCAGCACACAACACACGTGAGAGGGAGAGAGAGAGGGGAGGATAGTTGGCGACAGGCATGCATAATGCGCAGACAGCAAAAATGGAGGAAGAGGACGGGGAACAGGTATTCGAGGGCTTCAACGCTTCGAGCACGTTCTAACTCCTTTTGGTTGGCTGTGCGTGCGCTCGGTTCTCGTTCTGGAAAGAACACTGCTCGCATAACCACCTCCCGCCTCCTCCCTCCTCCTGCCTCCTCCTTCTCTTCCTCTGTGCCTCCCTCCTAGCGGCAAGCTGCGCAATCGTCGCCACTTGTGAGCTCCTGGGAAGTCCAGCGGAGGCGGTGGGCAGGCGAGACCTCGCAGCTCCCTGAAGGCTGCCAACTGCGCGAGGGGAAGGAAGCGGAGGAGGAGGAGGAGGAGGAGGAGGAGGAGGAGGAGGAGGAGGAGGAGGAGGATTTCCCGTGAATCGTGGAACGTAACAACCACGTATGCAGCTTAGTGTAATCAAGATAAAGCGGGCCCACTGCTACGGTCTCTTACTGCATATTGGTTGGGTGCGTGTTTTTTTGTGGTTGAATTCTCATTCTTGAAAACTAATTCTTGTTGGTCACCCCACCGGTGCACATGGACTTTATCAATTGAAATGCTCCCTTCGGGGCTCGCATCCTGTTTTTAATCAGGTAAAATCTTCCTGCTCTAACTGTGCCCCTGGCCCCCCGGCTACAGCAACAGCGGTTCATGCCTGTTACTTCTGCCTCACGATTTATTCCGAAATCGCGCTCTCGCGCGGGAGTACGTCACAATGTATGTAGGAGTCGCGCTCTCGCGTGGGACTTCCTCACAATTTCTTCAGACCCCACGCCCTCGACACGGATAGGAGTGTCGGGCTGCACAGACTTCGAAGCTTCCTTGCGCAGCCATGCCCTTCCCTCTCCTGCTCCCTTTCTCCTCCCTCCCCTCCTCCTCGCGGACTTGCTGTGGCTGTGACGGCTGCCGTTCGGGACCAGGTAACGCAATGCTTCCACCCATGGGCGCCCGCCAAGACAACAACTCCTTCTTTCGCCAGCACGAGCTGCAGAAAAGAAGCCGGCCCCAAGAGGTCTCCCGAGACCCTCGGACGTCCCCGGAGGCCGTAGGAGGCCTCTGGAGGCCCGAGAGAGGGCGAAACTCTTCGAACAACTTTATTCTGGCATCCGCATTCCGACCTTCTGGCTGCCCGCTTCGTTCGGGCCCGAGGGGCCCTGGCCTGGGCGCCCGGCAGCAGCTCAAGTTCCTTCCGCGCAGGCCGCGGTGCGCCTCGACATCTTTACTCCCTGCGCGCCGCCTCAGCCCCGCAAGCGTCCGCACCCAGGGCGGAAATACGCTCTCCTTGTCCATGTACTGGTGCATCGCCGCGACCTCCCTGTGCTCCTCCTGGTCACAGAGGCGGGCCCAAGCCAAAGGATTGAAGGCGGGGGATGCAAAGGAGTAGGAGGAAGTATTGCATGACCAGACAAATAAGGGGCATATGATGGTGATGATGATGATGATGAGGATGATGATGATGATGATGATGATGGTGGTGGTGGTGGTGATGCTGATGATTGTGATGATGCTAATGGTGGCCATGATGGTGATGATGATGATGATGATGATGATGATGATGATGATGATGATGATCATGATGATGATGATGATGATGGTGATGGTGATGGTGATGCTGATGGGGATGATGAGGAGGAGGTCATTGAAGGAAGCTCGGTTCGAGCAGGCTGGTCACATGTTCTTGCTCCAGCCGTGGTGCCGAAGCGACCGCCGGCGTAGGCGAACAGAGGGATGACCTGCTCCACGAGAGCGTGCGCGACCACGGCACGTCGCCGCAGGTTGGTCGACGACGAGCCCGCAAACGAACGCCATGGGGGAGGAGAAGGGGCGTTAGACAACTGCTGGCAAAGATGAGGTCGCACACACCGTCACCTACGCCGCGCCTGCCGGCCGCGCAGGCCTCCGAAGTCGACCTGTCCACGGGGCATGCTCTGGATGGGGCAATCATCGCCCCCCGTTGGATCCGCGGGGGCGGTTGGCATCCCCTACACATCAGGACAAGGATGCCATGATGGGATTGGTTCAGGATGCGTTCCAGGATTTCCAGAGTAACTAGCGGCCCGAGTTCTGCACCCCCCTGTGGAACATCAGGAAGTCTTGGAAATCTTGGAACGTATCATTCTCATGACCGTTTGCTCCTCCGACAGATGCCCCATTCGCAACAACTCGCGTCCCTCCTGAGATTCTGATCACCCCGCGGAGAATCCCAGACATTCGCCACCGCGGCCCCGCTTCCTTGGGCTCGCAGCAAAAGCACACTCGGAGCAAGGGCCGCTACGCAGGGCGCGGACCGCGGACGTGGCGACGCCGCGCTGCCCTGCGCTTCCCTGACAACCCTTGAAGGCGGCCGTCGAAGGCGGGCTGGCGCCTGGGTGCCTCTTTCCGCCAGCCGGGGCCGCTGTGCCCTGGCCCCATCGAGTCCAGCACGCCGCCCAGCATCTCCATCAGCTGCTGCAGCTCAACGCCGAGGATGTACAGGAGGAGGCAGACCATGCCCCCGCCGAAGGCGGTGGCGCCAAGCTTGGCACGGCGCGTGGTCTGCCTCTCGCCGCGAGCGCGCTGACCAGTGGCACCTTCCGCTTGTGCTCATGCTCCTGCGTTGTCTTCCTTGTCTTTCTGTCTTTGTCTTCCCTTCCTTCAACCATGGCGAAATCTGTGGCCTGGTCAATCGTGACAATCTCCTCGGATGCCTGCGCGTGCCCAGCTGGAGGCGTGGAATCGTCCTTCCGAAGCTGCTCGGCGTAGCTCTCTCTGGCCAAGTCCGCATCAACCGACGGGGCGAAGACTGCACCGCGCGTGCAAAGCCAGCCCAAACATGGAGGCCGCAGACGACAGCCCCCGCCTGGTGAGGACCAGTTGGCGAGGCTCGTCCATTGCGCAGCTTTGGGTCCCTCACTCCTGAAACGGCCTCTTCCCCGCGGCTTTCCACGGCTATCTCCCTGGCCTTGCCAGCGGACTCGCAGCGGCGGCGTGCCATCGATCATCCTTGTCCCTCCCGGATGATGAGCCTCATTCCCGGCTGCTGGGGAGACCAAAAGGTGCCAATGCCACTACTCCCCGGACCTCTCCCGGGGTGTGTTCCGACCAGGATTTCGGGGCGGACCCAGCGGTGGCGACGAGGGCCTCCCAAGAGGCCCCAGAGAGGGGACAACGGGCGAAGGGTAGCGGTATGGGCACCCTCTCCTCCTCTGAGCTGCAGCTCCAGACCTCCTCCGCGACGGCGGCATCCAGCTGGCGCGGCAATGCGCGGGCTGCATCGCGCGCCCGGCCGCTGCCCCAAAGCCCAGGGCGGCCCTGCAGGGCTGCGCCAGGATCGCTCCGCCCTTGCCCTGCTTTTGGGATGCCCGCTGCGCGGGCCTCCTCTCGCGCCGCGCTGCGCTCTCGTCGGTCCCAGTGCCCCGCCCTCCCGACCAGCGAAAGGCGAATGCCTGGGGCCGCGTCGAGCTGGGCGAGAGGAAGAGAAAACGCCATTAACATCAACTTTTGGCGCTCCGCGCGGATTTCTTGGATCTGCGCTGGACCCCCCTCCCTGACGCGCGTAGCGCGCCAGGGGCGGCGCCGGAGGCGCCGCCGGGGGGGGGCCCAGCGCGGATCCAAGAAATCCTCGCGGAGCGCCAGAAGTTTATGCTGATGGCGTTTGTTTTTTTGTTTCGACTGCGGCCGCGTTAAGCTGGGTGGGTCAGAATGGTCTCGGGCCTGGATGCCGGGCGGGGGCGGATAAGAAAGAAGAGAGGGACGTACGACGACACACTCTGGCGGAAGCGAGGGCTGCGCCCATAAAGCCTTGAACCGTTTAACCTGTGGGCAATCTCGGTTGACGGGCGCCCGCGACGGCTGGATATGGTCTTCCACCTCCACGGTCCGAGGTCCTGGGGAAATCGCAACGTCGTTAAAACCTGGCGATCCAGCGTACGATTCAAATTATAGCCGGAGTGCAGTATCCCCAAACAGGGTTTTTAAACCCACTGCGGTTTCCAAGGTCGATTGCGTGCCCGTCCAGCGCGGGCTGGCATGGCATGTTAGAACATGATAACTGGCGGATGTCTGGGGAGGGCGGAAGGCAGGGCACGCATGACGGATGCTGACGCGGCAGAAACGACGACGGCGGGGACGGGGAGGCGGAGGCAGAGGCGCAGCAGCGGGAGGCGGGAGGCGGGAGGAGGGAGGAGGGAAGAGGAGCCAGGCGGGAAGCGGGAAGAGGGAGGCGGGAGAAGGAATGAGAGAGGTTGTGATTGGAGCCCCTGTGCTACGAAACGTCTCAGGCAGAACGGGCCAGACCATCTCGCGCGCAACATCTTCGAGCTTCGCATAGTGAGGATGGCTCAAGCGAAACGGGCAGGACCACCTCGCGAGCGACATCTTGGAGCTCAGTATTGGAAGGATGTCTCAACCGAAACGGGCAGGACAACCTTTCGCACACGTTCTGACAAGTCCACGCCACACTCGCTTCCCGTTAGGTCCTCTCCTTCAACTGCCTTCCTTCTCCCCCCTCCTCCTCCTCCTCCTCCTTCTCCTCCTCCTCCTCCTCCTCCTCCTCCACCTCCTCTTCATCCCGAACGGCATCTCGGAGCCCAGAGATGCGAGGATGTCTCCAGCGTAACGGGCTGGACCACCTCGCGCGCGGCACCAGAGTTGCGACGATGTCTCGGGCGAAACGTGCTGCGAGGAAGTTTCAGGCGAAACGGGCCGGACCACCTCGAGCGCGGTGTCTCAGAGCTCCGAGTTCGGGGGCCTCCTGGGGCCTCCTGTGGCCTCCTGGACCCCACCTGGGGCTTCCTGAAGCCTGCCTCGAGCTGTCGGGGCCGCGGAGCCGAGCGACCTTGCGGTGCGGGGGGTCCGTTGTGCCTGCCGGAAGTGTGCAAATGCCGATTCATGGACGCATGTAGTCAGAGCGTGAATTACCTACCCCGCTTTCGCTTCCAGGCAAAACCAAGTCATACCACGCGCCTCCTCGTCAAGCGGCCTGACCAGTACAGGCCGTAGTTTGGCATCGCTTGGTATCTCTTGGAAGCGAGGGTGGTCAAAAGCGAGGTAGGTTCGTTTTCCCCCTATGTAGGCACAGCGCCGGCCTGCTCTGGGCGGGACACGTTCGTCGACCTCAATTTCGCGTGTGTCTGTCTGTGTGTGTGTGTGTGTGCGTGTGTGCGTGTGTGTGTGTGTGGATATCTAATATGTGGCCGTCTGGGCCCCCCCAAATGGGGAATCTCCCGGGGACCTCTGGGGCCTGTCCTGGGCGTCCTGTGGCCTCCTGAAGCTCTCTGGGGTTTTTTGGGGCTCCCAGGGTCCCAGGGGGGATATGTAACATGTGGTCGGCTGGGCACCCAGGCTGGACCACCTCTTGCGCGGCATCTGGGAGCTCAGAGTTGCGAGAATGTCTTGTGCGAAACAGGCAGGACCGCCTTGCGCACGGCATGTCAGAGCTCAGAGTTGCGAGGATGTCTCAGGCAAAACGGGCTGAACCACCTCGCGCGCGGCATCTCCGAGGTCAGAGTTGAGAGGAGGTCTCAGGCGAAATGGGCTGGACCACCTCTTGCGCGGCAGCTCAGAGCTCAGAGTTTCGAGGATGTCTCAGGCGAAACGGGCCAGACCCCGTCGCGCGCGGCATCTCAACGCTCAGAGTTTCGAGGACGTCTCAAACGAAACGGGCCGGACCACCTCTCGCGCGGCATCTCGGAATGCAAAAGTGGAAGGATGTCTCAAGTGAAACGGGCCGGACCACCTCTTGGGCGGCATCTCGGGGCTATGTTCGGAGGATGTCTCAAGCGAAACGGGCCGGACCACCTCTCGCACGGCATCAAAGAACACAGAGTTACGAGGATGTCTCAGGCAAAACGGGCCGGACCACCTCGCGCACGGCATATCAGGGCTCAGAGTTTGGAGGATGTCTCAGGCGAAACGGGCTGGACCACCTCGCGCGCGGCATCTCCGAGGTCAGAGTTGTGAGGATGTCTCAAGCAAAATGGGCTGGACCACCTCGAGCGCGGCATCGCAGAACTCAGAGATGCGAGGATGTCTCAGGCGTTAAACGCCGCACCACCTCGCGCACGGCATCTCAGAGCTCAGAATTGCGAGGATGTCTCAGGCGATACGGGCCGGACCACCTCTCGCGCGGCATCTGGGAGCTCAGAGTTTGGAGGATGTCTCATGCGAATCGGGCCGGACCACCTCTCGCGCGGCATCTGGGAGCTCAGAGTTTCGAGGATGTCTCAGGCGAAATGGGCCGGACCACCTCTTGCGCGGCATCGCAGAACCCAAAGTTGCGAGGATGTCTCACGCGAAACGCCCAATCCCGGACAACTCAGAAACGAGAGTTGCGAGGATGTCTCAAGCGAAACGGCCCGGGCCACCAAATTTTGTTGTGGACGTCTCTGCTTTGAATTCCCTCGGCCAGAGTTAGCTTCTATCACAACAGCACCCCGTTCAGCAAGCTGTTTGGGGAAAAAGACAGAGCTTGAATTGCGCGGGGGAGCAAGAGTTCCTCGCGACACTCGCTCGGCCCCTAGCTTCGAGTCGGGCGACCAGCCCGAGGGGTCGCATCTGCCGCCAGACTTCAACCAGCACCGCTCGAATATCATTCCGCCCAAGCCTTCAATGGCTCGGTTCATGTCCGCATGTTTGCAAATCTCGCACGAGATGCGGGCCTTCATGGACAACTGCCGCTCGAACTCCCCCGACAAGGTGTCTGGCCATATCGCCCATCCTGGCTGAAGAAACAGCGACTCAAGCTTCGCCATGAACTCTGGGAGATTGTTCTTCTAGCAGCTGACGGGCCCTCGTCAGCAGTGCACTCTTCCTGTGCGCTTCTCCCGTCGATCCGCTCGTCTGCACCGACGCCGTGGATCACGAGCGCCGGGCCTGCTCGACAGCGTCCGCCGCCTTTCGCTTTCCTGGCCGTCTCGTGTGTTTTTTATCCTCCTCAAGTTTCGCTTGCCAGCCCTGGCCGTCGTATTTCTTCTCAGCGGCCTTCCGAAGATGCAAATCCAGGAGAGCCCAGGACCGAATGATCGAAACGAATCGTGTTGGCGGAGATCAGCAACCAGGTCGGGCGAAGCCGAGATCGGAGCCCAGGTCGGAACCCCAGGTCGAAGCGAATCGGAATCAGAATTCCGTCGACGTCGGGGCGAATCGAAGCGAAGGGATCGAGCTGCCTTCCCGCTCTCCTTGTTCTGCGGCCCCTCGGGCCCTCGCGCGAGAGCCCCGTCCCGTGGGGCCCGCCAGACCTGCCGTCCACTCCAATCCAGCAGGTCTGGATTAAGGTCGGGCATGTCCCTCACAGGGGGATTCTGGACGAAAAACTGAACGGCCTCAACGCAGCCCCAGAAGATCCCGAGACGGCCCAAGCAGACAATGTTTTGACGCATTCGCCCGTTCGAGCTTCAGCGTGTCTGAGACAACCCAAAGAGACCACCCAGATCGCGCCAATACATCCCCAAAGACCCCCCCCGAACCGCTCACGCGGGCTCCATGATGGCCCTGAACCCCCCCCAAGACAGCCGAAGAGACCCCCATGAGGGCCGCAGGAGGCGCCCCAAAGGGGGAAGCCGAAGAGCCCGGCCCCAAGACCCCCAACATTCCCCCCGGAGGCTCCAAGATGCTCTCCAAAGGCCCCTCAAAGCGCCCCCTGAGCGACCCAACAGGGACCCTCTTAAGCTCAGTGATGGGTTTCCCAGATGTGCGCACGGCGCCAAAACACTTCTAGCGCTCCCGAGGGGGCCACGAAGCGCTGTGCTGGATGTGCCGAAAGGTTGGGCGATGATAGTGATGATGACGGCGATGATGACGATGATTGTGATGATGACGGCGATGATCATGCTGTTGATGGTGATGTTGATATTGATGTTGATGGCGATGATGATGATGCTGATGATGATGCTGCTGATGATGATACTGATGATGCTGCTGATGATGAGGATCATGATGATAATGCAGATGATGATGGTGATGAGGATCATGCTGATGATGTCCATTGTTATGACAATGATTATGATAACGTGATGATGGCGGTGGTGATGGGGATGCTGATGATGATGCTGCTGACGGCGATGATGCTGCTGATGCTGATGCTGAGTATGATGATGATGCTGATGCTGTTGTTGTGGATGGCGATGATGATGATGATGATGATGATGATGATGATGATGATGATGATGATGATGATGATGATGATGCCGATGGGGATGATGATGATGATGATGATGATGATGATGATGATTATGATGATGATGATGATGATGATGATGATGATGATGATGAGGATGAGGATGATGATGATGATGATGATGATGATGAGATGAGGATGAGGATGATGATGATGATGATGATGATGATGATGATGATGATGATGATGATGATGATGATGATGACGATGCTGATGATGATGTTGATGGTGGTGATGATCATGGTACTGATGGAGGAGGGAGAAGGGGGAGGGTTATGATGGGAGGAGGGAGGAGGGGGAGGACAACGCCCCGAGGAAAGAGATACACCCAAGGGTCCCATGGGGTCGGCGGTGCGGCGCAGGCCAGGGCGTGGCCCCTGGCTTCGCGCCAGGCGAGCCAGCCAAAGGAGTCCACGTCCAGAAGCTACGTGAGCGACGGTCAAATATCAAGCACGGGTCTTACGCGAGATGGCGTAGCGACCTTACGCCGCACCTTGCGCGGGCCGCCCGCGCGGCACGGCACAATGGAGACAAAGGCGCTTACGCGCGACCTTACGCGGGAAATTTGCGCGCCAATATCGGCGCAAACGACCCCGCTCTTGTTGCGTCGCTCACGTGTTGCCGGAGGCAGGTCGCAGAGCGGAGGCCCCACCGCAACGCATCCAATGCATCCAAGTCTTGAGCAGTTGCTGCATGTTGTATGTACTTTACGTGGCCTCTCTTCCCCCCAGGACTCGTGCCGCATCGGCGGACCAACATGTTTTTTCTCTTACTTCTTGTGCCCAAACATGTACCCAAACATATTGAACATCTATGATATCGGCCTCTAGGGCGTCCTGGGGGTCCAAAGAGGGCCCCAGGACGGCTCAATATGGCTCCCAGGCGGCCAGGAAGGCCCCAAGAGAGGCCAAGAGGCCAACAAAAAAGCCCCAGAGGACCCCCCCAAGCACATCCACAAGCTAAAAGCATTGATGTTTAATTGTGTTTGAATGGTTTTCGCGCCCTCGCCTTTTTCGACCCTCGGGGGCCTATGACGGCCCAAACAGCCTCCAAGATGGCCCCAAGACGGCCCTAGAGGCCCCCAAGACGGCCCCAAGACTGCCCCAGCGGGCCCCGAGATGGCCGAAAGAGGCGCCCCAAACGGTCCAAGATGCCCCCAAGATGGCCCAAGAGGACTCCGAGAGGCCTCTAAGACGGTCTCCGAAGGGGCCAGACGACGCAAAAGGGCCCCAACACAGCCCAAAAGCTCCCCAAAAGGTCCCCCAAAGGTCCCAAGAGGCCCCCAAGGAACCCAAGAGGCCCCCAGGGGACCCCAAGAAACTTCCAAGCTGCCCCCAAGAAGCCTCCAAACGATCTCAAGAACGTGCAATTGAATTCTAATGGCGCGCTGCTGCTATGCGAATCGGAATTTGAACTTGGCGTTGCCTTTTACTTACACGCGGTGAATTATCTTTGCCCTCGTGGGCGCTCGCACGCTCATCCCCGCACTGAAGCGGGGGGGGGGCGCATCTGCCCTCCGTGGCGCCGACAACACCCCCAGGGCGGGCAGAACGACACTGCTGACCACCGCGCCAGCGCCAGCCGAGCAGGGCAAACCACCCAACGCCCAGTCTTGACGTGCTCCAGACGTGCACCCCGCGACGCGAGAGGAACGACTCCTGGCTTCGCGCAAGAGAGCCAGTCCAAATACGGCAGGTTCGTGTCGTGCCGACCCCAGCGTTGGTTTTTGACACCGCGGGGATCGTTCAACCTTGAACGATCGGCCGCTGCCGCAACGTCCGATCGTTCAACATCGATCGATTCTGGGTCGCCCGCGGCGTTCAACCTTGAACGCCCGCGCTGGGGTCGCCGCTGGTCGACACGACGCAAACCTACCGTACTGCAATGGCAACATGCAAGTGGAGCCGCGGTGGCAGCACAATGGCGGCGAGCGGCAGCACTGCCACAGCAAAACACAGAACAGAGGCACTGTGGCGCGATGGGGTGACTGCCGCTCGATACAATTTGCACGGGGTCCTGTCTCTGCTCCAGTCTTGAAGTGCTCCTTGCGCCGTTCTGGGATACTCGTCTTGCCTTCGCGCGCCCCTGGGCTCCCTCGCGGCTTTCCCGGGGCCGGCTTCCCCTGCATGGTGGGCGGAGCCTGCCGCGAAGCCCCTCCAATGTCCTCGGGGCGCTCAGCCGTGAGAGCCCCGCCCAGCCAGACAAGAGTACCCCAGCAGAGCACTCTCCAGCTAAGGTCTGGATGCGGATGGGCGCCTGAAGCGTCGGCTTGCGAACAACAACTCATCATTTTGTCGATACGATTGCGGACTTGGAGTTGCTTATGAGGGTGACGTTCGTGATGTCGACATGGTGAAGCGAACGCGCTTGGAACAGAACGGCAGTAGGGACCGAACGACCCCACTTCTGGCGGTTGGAGTGGTGAGAAACCGACGGCCCTGCCATACGGTCTGACCCACGACAGCTGGAACGGTGAGAACCCGATGCCCCTGCCACAATCTCTGAACGTGCGACACCCGAAATCGAACCACAACACGGTGATGAGTCTCATTTCTGGGTCTGCGAAGGCTGAGGTTAAACCAGAATGGTCGTCCCCCCTCCCCCTGTGGAGATTCTGGTGAGAAGAATAGTTAGCAACTGGAATCTAGCCAAAACGCCATATTGAGTCCCATTTGTGAACCAAATCGAGCCCATTCGCCAGAGTGAGTCTCACTTCTGGATCTGCGACGGCTAAAATCGAGCCAGAACATCATGATGAACTTCAGTTCTGGACTTAATCGAGCCAAAACGCAGGAGTGAGTCTAATCTCTGGATTTGCGAGGACTGAAATCGAGCCAGGACATCGTTGAACCGAAGTCGACCCAGAACACAATAGCGAGTCCCATGTCTGGACTAGATTGAGCCAGCACACCATACGCCTCGTTTCTGGATCTGCGAAGGCTGAAATCGAGCCAGAACGCTCTAGTGAGCCTCGTGTCGGGACGAAATCGAACCAGAAAGCTCGAGTGAGTCTCATGTCTGGATCTGCGAAGGCTGGGATCGAACCAAAGCGCTACACTGATCGATTTCAGACAAACGTCGGACCAGTGAGACTCCTCCCCCCGCCGCCCCCCTGTGGAAATTCTGGCGAAAGGAAATCCTACCAGAACAACATAGCGAGTCTCATTTCTGGACCACATCGAGCCCGAACGCCAGATGGAGCCTCCTTTATGCATCCGGGAGGGCCGACAACGAGCCAGAAAACATGGCGAGGCTCCTTTCTGAACCACATCGAGCCATAAAAGGCCACAGCGAGTCGCACGTCTGGACTAACACTCGAGCCAGAGCACCATCGTGAACGCTGGCGGCAGATTCTGGGCAGCGCCGCCGGGCCAGGGCCAATGAGAAGCCTCCCCCTGGACGCCCTCTCCTGAGGAGGGCCTCGCTTCCCTCCTCCTCCTCGCTTCCCCTTTTTCTTGCTCCTCGTCCTCCGTGCTCCTCGTTTGCCCCTCTTCCTCCTCCTCCTCCTCCTCCTCCTTGTCCCTCGTTTCCTCTTGATTCCTCGTCCTTCCCAACCTCTTTCTCGCTCTCCTCGTC